TTTGAGCCGTACTGTGACACGTTTCATCAATCATTGTACTTCTTTCGACAACTACTACACCAGTCTCCCATTCTTAGTTTATTTAAATCGGGGTGACGCAGACGAGTATGTAGCTTCGTTTGACGGGATTGATAGATGATAGATAGATAGTATATTATGAGGTAATGCACCGCGACCTAGGGTCTACTGGCCCTCTCCTATATCACATGTCCTCCCAGAGCCCCAGCAGCCTGAATAGTTCCAGGAGTTTGGCGGGCGATACTGAGGTGTGATCCCTGCTGATGTAAATGGAATACAGGGCCTTAAGCGTTTTTAGGAAGATTGCTGTGCAGTCCACGATTAGGTGTGCTGGTGTTTCCTGTTCCAGGTCGCAGAACCGGCAGCTAGCACAGGAGACTATGCCCATGTTGGACAGGTGTTTCCTGAGCTTGCAGTGCCCTGTGTAGATCGCGACGAGGAGACGGGATTGATATTCCCATAGTCTCTTGGAAAAACTCAAAAATGGTCAACATGGCTTCAACATAGCTGGCATAAAGCCATAGAAATTCAATGTAGGAGCAACGCCCGAATACTCTCAAGCTGTTGAAATGTTCAATAAAAGAACTCCGCACTGTGTTCTTTTATTGAACATCTCAAAACTTGAGAGTGTTCGGGCGTTGCTCCCCTTGTCCAAATGTTATACACGAATATAATAAGAACATTGACGGTGTCAACCCTATGGATTCATCATTAGGACGAAGCCATATCACCATCAGGTCTCGTAAATGGACCAGCCGATTAATATATCATATGCTTGATATGGCAATGATTAATTCGCAAATTGTATAAAAATGTCATTATTCCATAACAGCACAAACAAACCCTATGATGAACTTGCACGAATTCATATGCGAGGTTGCCGAAGTCTTTATGAGAAGTGGAACCCTCTTACAAAGAAAACGAGCCGGAAGTAACATTGAAAATCACCTGTTGTTGTTGTAGCGGCAGAGTTCTGCCAAATTGACAGTCCTTGACCGAATAAATATTCGGGTCCGTTCCGGTTACGTAGACCCGACTGTCGTAGGAATCACCTCGATACCGCCGCTTGTTAAAAGTTGAGATCATTTTGGACATTTTGTTATAAATGATAGAAAACCAAGATGAAAACATACTAATTGTTCAAAACGTACGCAAGTTCGTTGGATAAATGTGATATACTTATCTTTTTGTTTATCGTGACAGCAAATTGGTTTTCTGGATATTAGTTTTATTTAACTGCGGAAAGTTTTGTAATAAGATTTTAAAAAACGTAAGCTATCTACAGATTTTGGGCCAGCCAAAGAAAATTCGCGTTCTGCTGATGCACTACTAGCCGGAATTGAGTTAAGTTTTAGTGCCAATTTGGAAAGTTTTGGATACAATTTTTCATGATTTTTCCACCATTGCAATACATTGAATTCGTCTGTTATTTCCACATTTTCCTTGCAGTAGCTTTCGATTTCTTCTGTAGGCGTTTTTATCGTATTTTTTGACTTTTTTTAATAATTGCAGAAAGAAAAAGAAAGCATCTTTTCGCTTATGCACTCCGAGGTTTGTTGCATCCAGTAAGTCATCCGAACCACGGCTCTCAAATGAAAAGTGTGACGTTGTGTCCGATTTAGATGTACACGGACTAACTGGAACAGAAGACGAAGGTGATAAATTGATGTCCAAGCAGTCCATTTGAGAAATACAAAATTGTTTAATGTCGTTTTCATCATTTGGTTGCATGTGTAAAGCAGGCGGATATAAAAAAAAAGCTGCCTTATGCCATTGACCGATATGTGGAACCCATATTGTATTTAGGGTTTTGATGATGTTTGCCTTCAACCCTGCTATAGCAGGTACATCTGCCGTTTGAAGCTCGCATAGATGCTGCATTTTGTTAATAGATGGCACGACGAAACATAAGGAAGGTGAACTGCAAAGTTGTAGTTTCTTGAAAATTACTTCAAAATTGCTGCATAGTCCACAATTTGTTGCAGTGTTGATATATTTATCTGCATCAATCGTTGGCTTTCTTGCTTCTCTTTCAAAATTTCGTTGATGTCAAACCAATTGTCTACTATAGACTTAAACATTGAGAAGTTTGAATTCCAGCGTGTCGGGCAATAATTTTTTAATGTAGTTTGTAATAGATTCTGTAAATTAGCTTTTTTAAAAAACTTAGTAATTTTTTGGCAATTTTCTATAAGCTCGGTTGCCTCCAAGGAATCATTAAATGAACGTTCCAA